CTTTGTACTTCTCACCATCAACCAATCACTGAAGTGAGCTTCCTTTGAGCTGTGGAGGTGACCCTGGGTGAGAAGGGCTCTGTTGAGAGCCATCAGCTGCTAGGAGTCCCCACAGCTGGGGGAACAGGTGTCTCAGTCCTGAAGGGTGGATCTAGGTATGGTATCAAAGCATCCACCACGAATATGAGTTAAGCCGGGTCCTGATGTACATGGTTTGATTTATGCAGTTGGAGAAAAGGGAAAAGGACCTTTGTGTCAGGAGGAGGAGAAAGACAGGTTTTTATTAAGTCTTCAGAACATTGTAGCTCTAGTGAAGGGTACGTGCAGGCAAGCAGACAGGGCATGAAGTTAGGAGGAAGGGAGGAGGCTTCAATGCTCATCTTGTCTGTCCTTCATCATTTTCTGAATAAAGTATCATATTATCAGCATGCAATATGGTATATCATATTATATGTAACTTTTCACTGATACAAGTTTGGGGTGGAGGATGTAGGAGCCACTTGTAATATGAACAAATATTAAATTTGATTTAAGATCATTTTGTCACATTTGCTCTCAAATGTTCTTCATTTCCTAGTGGCTCAAAGGAGTATTGAATTTCTACAATATGTATATTTTTGGGTTTTCTGGAGTTTGACTGATATATTATTATGATAAATCATCATTCTGCAAATATGGTGACATCCTTCTGCTGAGCAACATTCACGGTTCTGAAAGCCAAGGCTTGTGACACTCCCCATCTTTTCCTGACTGCATCCCACAGAGCGGTGTATGTCACTATGAGGGAAACATGCTGATGGGCTCATTTATTTTGGCTTCTAAATGAGCAAGAACACAGAATAACAATGTACTATGTGAGGTTTAGGTAATGGACACTCATGTGTAAGGCAACTGTTACTCAAAATGAAGGGACACATTGTTTTTTTTTTTTTCCTTTTTGTCTTTTTTACTGACCAGTAACGGGATCGCAACCCTTGGTGTCGTGCCCGTACCGGGGACTGGCAACGGGATCGCAACCCTCGGTGTTGCGCCTGCACCGCACTCAGCCAGTGAGCGGGAACTGGTCTTCACATGGGATCCGGGCAACGGATTGCAACCCTCAGTGTCGCGCCCATACCGGACCGGGACCAGCAACGGGATCGCAATCCTCGGTGTTGCGCCCGCACCTCGCTCAGCCAGTGAGCGGGAACCGGTCTGTATGTGGGATCCGAACCCTCGGTGGGAGCACCACCGCGCTCCCAAGCGGCACACTGTAGCAGTGCGCCACTGGGTCAGCCCCTAAGAATGATTCTTAAAAGTACAATTACTATTATCAAATAGCTATTTTTTTTTCCCTTTTTGTCTTTTTTACTGACCGGTAATGGGATCGCAACCCTCGGTGTTGCGCCTGCACCGCACTCAGCCAGTGAGCGGGAACTGGTCTTCACACGGGATCCGAACCCTCGGCGGGAGCGCCTCCGCGCTCCCAAGCGGCGCACTCTCCAGTGCGCCACCAGGCCGGCCCGACACATTGATTTTTTACAGTGTGAGCATTTTGCACTTTGAAATGAGACTGGAAAGAGAGGCCGCTACTGAGTCAATGATGAATGAATGAGGGGACAGAGCCAGGCCTGACACCCTAAGTATTAGGTCCACTTAGTCTGTGCTGGATAACTTCCAGGGCAGCTAATAGGGAAATACTGCAATTGGTCTCATTTTCAGTCTTCCCATCTGTAGAACTGGGAGATTTACTATCATTTTTTACTGAACTTGCTTTGAGGAGTCATTAAGAAAAATTTATGTAAAGATGAAAAGAATGTAAAATAAGAATGCAGTGTCTTGGCAAAATCAGGTCACTGTTTTATAAGGCATTGTCTTCTGCAGAGTAATTTTTTAGGGGTAGTTAATTAGCAGAGGACCTGGTGGAGTTTTCAATACATTAGTATGTCTAAGAATCATGTGGACCTGGGTACTGGGAAACCCCTAGGGGCTTCCATTTCAGAAAGTCTGTTGGAGTTCAGGAAGACACATTTTAACATGTGTCCTGCCTGGGTCTGAAGCAGATGGTTTGCTGTCTACACCAAAAAATCACCACAATTAGATAGATATTAAAAGTTTGTCTAAACTGGGATCTGGTACAGACCACAGTAAGTCAGAAAACACATGTAAAGGGATCAGGGTCTCAGGTTTAACTGATTGTTGTCATATTGGAATGTGAGTCCAAAATTGTCAGATGACCTGATTTTTCAACAGATACCAGAAAGCTAGAATTCAATATAAAGTTTCCTAAGACTTAAATGTTGACACCTCATTGAAAGAAATTAAAGACATTGTGTGTAACAGATAAGACATGTGTGTTTGATTTGGTCTCTGAGCAGCCTGTTTATGAAACACAGGTCAACATCATAGCTGATCTAGCTTACCTTAAATGTCCTCGGAACACTTACATTAGCCTATGGTTAACCAAGATCATCTAACACAAGGACTATTTTATAATAAAGTGTTGAGTATCTCATGTAATGTATTGACGACTGTACTGAAAATGAAAAGCAGAATGGTCGGATGGGCACTGGAAGTACATTTTCCACTGAATGTGTATTGCTTTTGCACCATCGTAAAGCTGAAAACTCATAACTTGAATGATTGTTAAGTCGGGGACCATGTGTACTTCCTTAGAGCTTTCCTTGGAGGATTTGTTTTAGGATGGCAACCCATTGCTGACAGTGTTCTGGGGCATGAGGACTTGAGCTTACAGGTGGGGACTGGGTGGGAGGCAATATCAAAGGCAGAGTCTTCCTTAATGTATCTGCCTTAATGTCTAAGGCAGCTTAAAGATCTGAATGGGGAAATCAGAAGAAAGGCTCTAAGATGCTGACCCAGACAGACAGGAACCAGGAGAACTGGAGCCAGAATGAAGCTGAGAGTTCAGCTCATCACAGGGCAATCTTTTTAAATAAAGCAGCAGGTTCTGTTTGAGCAAAGAACAGTTAAATGTGCCTTGAGGGATCAGAGTTCTCATCCAAAATATCCTTTTATCACTCCTTGTACACAATTTTTAAAAATATGTATTCCTCCCTCCCTGACTCATGTGTATAGCAGAAAGATGAGCTCAGCTAAGGTCTTCTTTGGGTCTGGGACTTTGGAATGGCTGCTGAAGGTGAATATGAAATGATACTCTCTAGCTTGCCTTTTGCATCTAGAGGCAGGTCAGTTCAGTTCCATTGCAGTGGATGTGGGCTGGGGGAGGGTGGAGGTGGGCCAGTGGGTGGAATATGTCTGTGGTCCCCAGACCTGACAGAGCATAAGTCACAGCTTTGATAAAAATACAGATCAGCCAAAATAAACTCATGTGTTGCAGTAACAAACAATTCTGAATCTTGGAGACCATAACACAACAAAATACTATTTCTTACTCAGACAATATGACCAGTAGGGTTAGTAGAGAATGGGGTGTATGTGTATCTGGCTCATGGTCACTCAAGGACTCAGGCTGATATAGGCTCCATCTACAAGTTCTTCCAAGACAGCTACATCAGGGGAAGGGACTGGGCAGAACCATTCACTGGCTTTTAAAGCCTCTACCTGAAAGTGACGCATGCCACCTCTACTCACATTTCAATGACTAAAGCAAGTCACATGGTTATGCCTAACTTCAAAAGGGGCAGAAAAGTGCAATCCCACTATAGAGTGTAGAAATGGAATATTTGTGAATAGCCCTAATACCTACCACAACACTCAAATTTCTCATTCATTATATTTTCCCCAAATCATTCTAATACTCTTCTAGGTCTGGAAACCCCTGGCCTGTCTAGTTCATCTTTGGAGGCACTTTCCAGCTGAAGTTTGAGTCCTTTCATGATTTCTTGGAAAGGCATCATAAGTACTGAGTACAGGACTACATTCAATAGACGCCCCATGAACCGCTTTTAGCAGTAACTCACCCAACTCCTCAGTGGAAACCAAATGCAAAGTAACTGTATTTTTTATTTCTATTAACAACAACAAAATACTTTCATAATTTCACATCCTGTTGCTTTTAAGAGCACATATATTACAAATAAAGGAACTCCACAAACTGTAAAGATTAGTATTTATCAACACCTTTTTACACATACACAAATATTTTAATATAGTGGTATCTGGAATGTTATTCATATAATTTTAGTACTGTCATAGGTATTAACTAAAAAGATTCTTTTAAACTTGATAAAAACCATGTATTTTACAATCTTCTATTTACATCTGAAATATGCTTAAATGTTACAAAAACATTCACTTTGACCTTTAAAATATGTGTACTAGGACAGGGTATTGAACATATTATAAACTTAGGGTTTGCTTCTGAGCGACACATTCATTGATATTTCAGGGCAAATATTCAGCTAGGGTTGCTCGACACTGCTCCAAAGAGGGAAAAAAAATCATAGGAAATGTGCAAATTCAGAGACTGGCAAAATTCTCAAGCTAGCGAGGTAAACAAAAATATTAACACTGTAGAAACTTCAAATAAATTAAATCTCTCTTTCTCTTTTATGAGATTAGCTGCAGATTCAGAAAGTTCGCTTAGAAGTGTGTCTGCTGCTGCAGACCTTTGCTCAAACTTCAGCACTTGATGAGACACAGACTGTGGGCTGCGCTGGAGTCGCCCTGCTAGTTACTCGAGGGCAGGTTCGCTCCACTCCGCGCTGTGACGGGTCGTCCCTGCC